AGAGTTAGCCACGCCCATTTAAAAATATTATCTTTAAGTGAAAAAAAAATACGAAATAAATGTGAAACATAAAAATGTCGCAATGTGCCATCTCAATGAAAAACTATAGCAGGCACTATGTCCATACATCATTCACTCATTCATTCGCTGATTCATTCGTTTATTTTTGTGCTCAAGAACAGCAGGTTGCCTGAGTAATGATGCACAGTCAATAACAACAAAACTGCTAATACAGAAAAACGAGAACAACAACAACAAAAAAATTCCATAATAAAAACTGAACATTCCCTCCCCAAAAGAAGAAAATGAAAATAATTTACACAAAAAGTACTTCAAATTGGCTTTATGTAACTCATTGAGAAAATTGCTTATAATATATCATTACGTTATTTCATATCGCAATATGGGATACGGATCGTTCGTGCGCGTATGTTTTCTTTGTTAGATATAGTAATAATGTAATATTATTAGCTTCATTTGCCATATACAATTATATTAGTATTTCGTATTTTTATTTTTGTGGTATTCGAACTTTAGTATTTTAGTGCACCACAGCGGAGACTGAAAAGCTGTTTGTGGGCACAAATAATTAAGAGCTATTATTATTAGTTATTTTATTATACCTATATGAAATGCACGGGAACATGGTCCGCCTCTCTTTCTGGTGCCCTCTTTCCCACCCTAGGTCCTCCAAAGTGAATAAAACTTAATTAAAATTTAGGTAAATGTACCCGCGAAGTACTACGACGTAAGAGTTCATTTAATTCGAACCATAAGATGCCATGCTTTTGTTTTTATCGTTTAAAGAGGAGCGGTGGTATTCATTCCACGCAAATTGCAGCTCCTTTGTTAATTTGTTCCGGGACTGTATAAATATTGCCTAGTCAACGAGCGCCCGAGTATTCACAAAGCATCAGTGTAGCTTGTGTCTAATTTTAATTTTTTTACTCAACTGAAGCATGTTCCACGGCTTACGTATTTTTCGGCTGCAAGATAGCGTGCAGAATCTTAGCGCAAGGTAGCGCTACATTAAGAGCACGCAAACGCTATATTTAGCGCTTGCGTTAGCGCACGCTCAAGCAAGTTTTAGAATATCTTTTTTTGCCACGACACAAAAACCCAAGCAACTCGCGCCACCAATACACTGTATCAATTTTTGATTTGGGTCCAGAATAACATCTTTTTATTTATTTCAGTATTACGCGCGAAATACATGCGCGTCAAAACTGTCCAATCCGACGTACGAACTGCCCAGAACGACGTTCGGAGTGGAGGGTTTTCGACGCTCTCCGGTGCTACGAAAACCCTCGCCCCCGAACGTCGTTTCGGCAGTTCGTAGGTCGGATAAGAAAGTTTTGACGCGCATGCGCTTCGCGCTTTAGACTGCGACGCGAGCGGTTGACCGGTCGTGTTCGCTTGCTTCGTGTCGACAAAGGTCTCGTCTACTAACGTTCGTACACCTCACGTTCGACGAGAAACATTCATGCGTCGCAAGAAGCAAGTTGACGGCGACGCCGGAGATCGTTCGTTGCCCACCTTGCCAGATCCTTCAAACCGTTTGTGACGTGCACCTACGGCTGGAGTACAATTTCCTCCAACATAGAAAATCGCAATAGCGAAGATGCCGCCGGCTTCGAGCTCACTACGACCGCCAAAGCTTCCAATGCCGCCGCAGCCGCAGTATTGGCAGCAATTATATTCTAACTGTACTCGATTTGGCTTGAGCCAACATTTCGCGCATCATGATTCCTTTTTGGAGGAACGCGTATACCCTTTGCGTACGGACGCAATTAAAAAAAAAATAGTGTACGATAAAATAGCGTACGAAGTGGGTTAGCGTTTGGCACATACGGAGTGGCAGCGATGCTATTCTTTGCGTACGTAAAACCGTTTAAGTACTTTATTCCAAAACTCCACTGTGTGTACGCACTTTCGCAAGGAAGTGGTCAGAATATAATGTATTTAAGATATTAATAAACGTATTTTAAGCATCATTCGTGTCACTGGATGCAGCTATTTGACTCTATGCCGATAATACTTTATGTAGAATCAATTTACCAAAATAGAAACAAACGTTCAGTCGTGGGAGGTCAGTGATAAACTTTCGTACTCTTTTTGGTCGGAACAAAGCGAATGCAAGAATGCAGCATAGTGATTCACTGAAAGCTACTTTGCTCATGCCGGATTGCTCCCGACTGAGATAAAAGATGGACAGAATAACGGCTTAGCCTGGGATGAATGAAAACTCCCAACAAGGATGCAAACGTAATGGCGTCGGTATTGCTGTATTTGCCTTTCTCGTTCCTTTATTTCCTTGCGTTTTGTTTCTTCTGTCGGTTACTGGGTTTTCTGGCTTATCAATAGTAGGGAGCGTTTGTCATCATGCCGCACGTGGATTGAAAAGCGGGTTAGCTTCTGTTTGAACTAAATTCGTTTTTTTTTTCTTCTAAGCTTGAGTTGTCGTTCCTTAGTGACGTATTCTGTCAGAGACGCATATAATATTGCATAACTTTTTAACATTGATTGCTGTGCCCCTTCCTCAAACTGAGACTTAAGGTACGTTTTCGTAAATTAAACTGCTTAATTTAAACAATGATCACGTTTATTTAATTTTATTGCAGTTTGCTGCATTAGGGGCCTCTTCTGGAAGGCATTACATAAGAAAGATGCTAAATTAAATATTTCTATGATTATAAGAAAAAACACTGCAAACAAGAACGAAAACGAAAAGGTCAAAAAACATTTTATTAACGTTATTTAACCAATCTAGAAATCTCGCCAGAAAACACATTAATTACTACTAGTTAAAGAACTTGAGGGCAGGCAATTCTAATTTGATATACGCTTAATGGAAAGGGTGAGCATTTAAACGTGCTGGTTTTGCGAAAGTTTGATTGCACTTTGTAGGGGTAATCGAAGCGGATGGAAATATGGAGGGTTGGAGAAATAAAAGTTCGGAGAGACTACGGGTAATAATCCAATCTGTGCATGAACGAGAGCCGGTCTATTTTCTTTGTTTTTTTTTAAGTGTTGAGAATTTGTAGGGTTACGGATTGTTTTAAAGAACAGATCCTACTCCAGGAGTAGTTACATTTAATAAAGCGAGTCGCGCGTTTTTGAACATTTCCCAATTGGTTAATCAAATAGCTTTGATGAGAGTTCGATATCATTCAAGCATGCTTCAGCATAACTTGGCAATGGCGAAGGATACGTTCCCATTCACCTCATAGGAACTTCGGAGAAATGCACGTAAGAAAATTTCAAAACGGCAGTGAGGGGTGGCTTAGCACAATCCTAAGATTTCACTTGTTCTCTTGGCTGGTTGTGTTTGTCGTTTTCAGCGTTCTGCTAAAACATTGTAAACGTTGCAATACCTGTGATGAAGTAGTTGGCGAGTCATACGTCTTATCCAGAGGCTGTTTTTTTTTTGTCCTCATATTTTTCTGTAGGTGAAGGTGATATGTAAGGCAGTAAGTACTGGCACCAAAGTCAATCGGCAGGCCAGGTGGTTACACATTATAAAAAAACTGCCAAAAATTGTCTTCTTCTACTAGTTCTTGAATTTGGCCGCTGTTTTCTTAAATATTTTCATTTAAATACAAATGAGACCTTGACGTTTAAATTTTGGACGCTCAATAGGGAGGAATATGAACATTTAGATATATGGTACTTGTATATCATTTTATTATTCACAATGGCATGGTGTCGTTTTTCGTTTCCAGATAACAGTTGTATTTCTTCTCGACAATTATATTTCCAAGAATTGAATGCCATAGCAAGAGATACTAGAGAAACCATTTCTTTTCAAAACTTTTCGGGCGATAATTTGCGATCGCGCTTTGCGGTGAGAGGTTCATAGAGCCATCGTAATGATGGTGAGCTCATCGCTATTATTTGATATATTTTGGTATGTTGATTACATGTTTGAATGCAACGACTTTTACATGCAACAGGTATTGCTTTTCAGTGTTTGTTTGAATCTCTTGTGTTAAGGATATCATCTCACATGAGGTGAGATGATATCCTGACAGGATATAATCTCTCATCATTTGCAGTGGTTGTATCAATCAAATATATATCAGTCAAAACACTAGCATTTTACAGCTAATTTTTTCCTCGGGCTATTAGCACCTGGAACTGTTTTGCAGACGAAATAGTAGTAATTCCAGACACATCCAATTTTCGCAGTTTAGTCACCTTACACCTCTCCTAACTACTACTGTCCTACTAGCTTGTCACGGAACGAAATTTGTATTAATATTGTATATATTTTTGTTTTATATTGTTTTTGTTTTTCATCGTTATATATTATTCTTGCCCACGCGCTTTTTTATATCTAATGTCCCATCGCACCTTAAAGAAGAAATAAATGAATGTCACCGTCAACCTTACTTACTGAGTTGCGGACATGATGTATCAAAGAGCGGAGTCTAGGACTGAAATGAGAACGGCTGCAGCACATTCTTGCTAACGCACTATGAAATATAAGACATTTCGTAAATCTTAGCGGCAGCCTTTTCTACAGTATTTGAAAGATTAATAACCCTAATTTATTTTGTATAGGGCACCCTTCCATTGCAATCATCTAGTGTCATATGAGGTTCGAGTAGGTTTGAGTGTATGTACTACAAAAATTAAGGAGGCTTGTTCCAAAGGAAGACGACCCAACGCATCGCATTCTATCAAAATCTATGTATAATATGTTTTCGTTAAACTATTAAGGACTAATCTAAAAACTGCTGTACTGCAGCGAGTGGATCATAAATAAGAGCATTCGTTACTGAAAAGCCTAACTACCACGTCAAAATAAACTTAAACATCTTAGGTAATTCATACTCATTCAAAAATAAAAGACCAGGTTTTGGACGGTCTGCTATTTACACCAGCAGGTTTATTTTTCAGATACCTAAAACTGGAAGTGTAGCGTGAAGATAATTCAATGAAATGTTGAACACAGGGACCCTTCTCAACGTCTTTGTTGTTGCGGTTACTGATTGCAGCCCCACCTGCCGACCATCAAGCTCATTTCCAAGGTGTGCTACACAGTGTCCCTGGTGACGCTCCTAGCCGCCTTTCTCATCCTGGCTTCCATCAAGTAAGACCGTCTAACTTCAACGCTAACCTTCATTTGAGGTAGCACTACAATATTTTTTGTTGAAGTAGTATTTCTTAACACAAGTAAAATAAATCAAATGCATCGTTTCTCGTCATTTCTATTAGTGAGGACCTTTGCATGACTTGTCACAACGTATGGCATGGAATTGGTGATATTTCAAAAAAGCAATTTTTATAAGCCACCAATGTATTGAATAATATGCATTTAATATTTGCGACCATGTAATATTATTCGTTACGAAGTACACTTTGCAAAACTCTGATGCTGTTTTGTATTCTGAAAGTAATAATACAACTATGTGCTTTAGTTACAAATTATAAATAATCTGATTCATAATTATTTGTATGAGTTATTTTCTGCACTCTGATATGACCTTATCTCGTTGATATTCACGCTGTAAAAATCTCATCACATTGTCAAAAGTTCATGTATTTGTTATCGCCAAGTTCATAGCATGGCTTTACTACCTCTCACTGTACGTTTCATTATGTGATCGAATTTTCTCTTCTCATATACCTGAATATTCTGAATCTTCAAAGAGTGACCGGTAAGCAGCGGCACGTGTAGTGCATTTGTGCAGGCGAATATATTGTCAGTGCTTCTTTATAAACTTTTTTTCTCGCATTTCAATGACACGCCTGTTTTTTTTTTTTTTTTGTTTTTTTTTGTAAGTCAAATATTTTGGGTAGAGTATTTTCCCCATGTGTTTCAGGAGGCTCCGCTGTCCCCGGAACAGCCTACACATGCATTTGTTCATTTCCTTCATCCTGAGGGCGCTGGCATTCCTGCTTAAGGATGCGCTCTTTGTCGACGGCGTCGGACTTTCGACTAACGTGGACTTCAACGAAGAGGTGAGCGACAAAATATATGGATCCTTGAACGCGTAACAACTCGCATTGTTTTTCGTAGCTCCTCATCAGCTCAGTAGCACACGACAAGTCAGGAACGCAATTGTCGAAGACTTACAAAAGAAACTAAAACATTTCTCTTGTTTGTGCCAAAGGACATGAGATGCGAAAGTCATTTGGGATTTTTTACACCTCTTCAGATATCCGCCGTTTGGAGCTCTCGGTCTGCATCAGTGTGCCGATTTTTCAGCGCCAATTATTGGCAAATTTAATTTGTACACATTTATACACCGATTCTGGTTTTATTATCAAATGTAGCGGAAAATACTGCGCACTATGTTTAACAGAACATTAAATTAATGTATAGGCTAGCTTAGGTAACCATTCTACATAACGCGGATACTTTAGCGAAAGAATCAAATATGTGTCTGAGTACACACAAAATCAAGATTTCCTTCTAAATTTAGATATCAAGCCTCGACCGATAGACGAATTTGATTTCATGCTTTCTGTGGCTTTAGAAATGCGAACGCATTGATAATAACGACCAAGGAACGAATTTCTCTTGAAATGTAAAACGTTAGGTGGTGTTAATGGAATATACTTCAATCGAGGTTTAAGCTGTGTAGATACTTCATTTAACGGTTTATAAACTAAGTCCTCGATATAGTCACTTTAAAGATACGCACTCTTCTTAGTACATAGAGGTATCTGTTTCATAAGAGTCTGGGTTAAGGTAGTCACTTGTTGAATTGTTGATGACTGTGTGTCCCCGTTCAGACTATAACTGCTCGTGTCCTTTTCTATAAATCTCTCGATTGCGCGCTGAATGCAATATTGTTGTACAGATATTTGTGGTTATAAAATTCAGTCATGACGACGAATGAAATTACCGGAGTAAAAATCAAGCTGTTTTCAATGGTAGAAAAAAGTGGCAATTCTTCCGTTTTAAAACTTAAAATAATCTCTTGTATCCACATAAAGTATTCGTGTTTCTTGCCTGGAAGTGTTCAATTTCATACAGTAAATATTTCGCTATCCTACGCTATAATCGATTCAATAATCCGGTTTTGGAACGCTTAGTTCTTATGTCCCACGGCTGCAACCACCAAGAAAGCTTCTTTTCTCCAAATTCCCCACGGAGGATCGATAAACACGCATCCGCTTCGCCTGCACCGCCATCCTTTTACTCGGCTGATTTTTTTTTACCTCTTGTACAATTTATTCACTAAGATTTTCTCTCTTAGCAGTTTCTTTTTGGTTTCTGCCACCATTTTTCTATTTCGAGACCAGCCGTCGTTGCAACAAACCCAGAGATTGTGCACCTGTTCTGAGAGTACTAAACATTCGATCCCTCTCTTGCTGTATCTCTTGTCCTATTTGCTTTCTTGTTCTGATCTTGCACGATCTAAAGCTGGAGCTTCTTATAACTTTCAAGCATCACTGATCAAATATTTAGATCCTTTCCGGCAGATGCATGTCCGTTGCTGGCTCTGAACTGCACCTAGCCTCTGCATTTGTCCAAGGTAGCTGCTCCCCCACGCTTCATCCGCGCTCCTGAAGTAGGCTTGCCCACACTAGGTGTTGTGCAGAGGTGAAGCACGCTTCCCAGGAGGCGGTCGTCCAGGTGCGGTTGGATCGATCTGTATCTTCGCTCTATTTCGACGTGGCTTTGAACTTTAGGGCGAAGCCTTCTCGTGTTTTCGAGGCATGTGCCTCCAGTGCACGGGTATGTGCAAATTGGTTTTAAAGTAAACCTGAAAGTTCCGCGTTATGAACTATTAAAAATGGGTGCCAGCTTTCCTATTTTTCTGTTCTAGCAATACTCTGCCTCTTTGCTATTACTAGAGCATTGCACGACAGTGTTGCCAACTTAGCTGCTTTCCCACCAATCTTAGCCGTTTTCGATGCTCCTCGAGCGAGTTAAAATTCATTATAGCTGCTTGCTGGACATTTCGACTTCTTTCAGTATTATCTAGCGATCTTTCAAGCTTTTTAAATGTTCTTGCTAAGATATTACACGTATTCGAAGCAACTATTTCTGGTTCCTTAACTAAATTAGCAAGCTCAGAGCACAAAAGTAATTGATTCACAAAAATGATGTTGATATTAACAGAATGGGAGCCCACATATATGTAACGATATTTTTAGAAGCTTCAAAAACACAAACACTTCTTTTGAAAACGTCCGTGCTGTTGTAACTACGTAGATAGGACAACAAACGCGATATATGAAGAAAGGAGACTTATACATAACATTTTTTAGAAAAACACAAACGCACACAAGAGCGGAACACAAACAATATTGCAGACAGCATGTTTATTCGCGTTACCGCAAAAAGATTGTGTTAGTTGAGTAATCATTGCAATTTAGGGAAACAAATTGACGTGAGCTATTTGCCGAACTCGTGGACGTACTTTGAGATATGTACAGAACTTGTTTTATGGAACCTCCTCCGTGGTATTGATCTTTTTGCCGCATTTGAAGCGCAAATGACAGGGCTCGAAGCCTCTGTAGCTTTTTTTCCTCAAAAAAGGTATTGAGCATCCCTTATAGCTTTCGATGCTTTGAGGCACAGGGCCCAATATTTGTTCATTTACATTATGAATACAAGCTATCTGTATTAGTGTATTTACTTTAGAAGTGTAAAAAAAAGTATTTAATTTGATTTTCTTTTGGATTCACGTCTTTAACGCAAAAATATTTTACCCCTTCCTTCTCCTCTGTTTATCACACGCAAGCACGGGCAGCCGGACAAGGTGCTAGCTGGATGCGCCGCTACTTTCACATTGCATCGCAAAAGGAACAAACGGTGTGAAGAAGAGATTAGTGAACAAAAGCAGGGTAGTAGTAAAGTGAAGCATTCATTTGGTGGGATTCCAACCACTTTAGGCTGCTTAAAAACCGCGTGCGCTGCCCGCTCCTCTACGCACGTGCCATTATTTACACTGAAATGAAGAGAGGAAAAAAAAGGCGGCGGCATGATGATTCCTACCATGCTTACCGCCGGGCCAAGGAGACGCCAGATGAGAGTTTACGATGCATTGTCCAGCCGAATGTACTGTTTATAGGTAAGATCCCCAATGGTATCGCGTTTCAAAATAATCTGCAGCAAAGCACCACTGAAACACGGCCCTGTTTGTTACGTTACTTTCTGTATTCCAGCGCATTACACAGCCTTGACACGAGTGCTGCCTCAGTGTTCATATAGTACTCTTGTCCTGGCTGACTGATTGCAAGTCCCACCAAAACGGAACCTAAACGAGGATTATAAAATTAAGCAGCTTACCTTCCTCGCAAAAAGGAGGGGTTCAGCATCTGTCTGGAAGGGAACCGCAATTGTATATTTTATCTTAGTGTTGTTGTGTTTCAGAACGTGGACTGCAAGGTGTTCACGAGCTTCTGGCACTACGTGCTGATGGCCAATTACTGCTGGATCCTCATGGAGGGACTGTACCTGCACAGTCTCGTCTTCCTCGCCTTTTTCACGGACAGTTCGGGGATTTTACGATACGTGGCACTCGGCTGGGGTAAGCTTTATTTTCAGAAGCTGATATTGCGAGAGTTTGTATCTGATTCTCAATGCTGTTTCTGAGGTTGTTACTCACACCCTCGAACGTTTTCTTCTTTTTTATAAATGTGAAGGTGCGGCCTGGAGATGATTGTGAACCTTGGAGTGTTCGCGTGCTCTGAATGGCTGGTATCGCTTTTACGCAATGTAAATTCGATATGAATTTATTGTTTTAGGGGTTGGCATATTTAAGTGTCATACGCTGTGATAAGGAAATCACTATAATTTCAAACATGTGTTTCAGAATATTCAATCATAAATTTAACATGTGCATTCAAGGAGCGTTCTACTTTTTAGATAAAGAGAGGCGCGCCATAACATTCACTATAAAAGGGCGTTAGTCACTGTAGAAAGCACCAGATCCAACAAAAAATCCTTAATGATTTGCGAAAAAAAATGAAAGCTGTTTACAAATTTCTATAATGCGAAATTAGAGCGCAGCTCTTGAGGAGGAAAGGGGAGGGTATGGAGGGTGGTATGCCCCTCCTCCTCGTTCGTACCCTCCCCTCCTCATTTTCTTCTCCCCTTCTCCTCCTGCCCTCCTACTCTTTTCCGCTGCTCCGCCTCCTCTCCTTTTCTCCTCTTCTCCTCCCCTCCTCCTACTTCTTCCGTCCTCGTTTCGTCCTCCTCCCCTCATATGTTTTCTCCTCCTCCTCCGCATTGCCTCATCCACGTGCTCCGAAGCTTCCTCTCCTCCTCCTGCGTACCCTCCCCTCTTCCTCCTCCATGTCCATTCCTCGCACACCTTTCCCTCTAAATTAAGCTGACAAATTGAGGACACGGGAACTCAATATCAATTCAGTTTCCTCGCTAACTTTAGCAGGAAACTGATGGCACATGACTTCTTGTCACGTCATATATAAACAAATTCACTTCCTCTGCTAGCTTTAGCTGGAAAACTGACGTCACGTGACCTCAAAAACAATTCTATTCTCCGCTAAATTTAGCGGGGAAACTGAATGCACAAGGTTGCATCAGCTGACGTCCCAGACGTACAGACCCATTCAGCTTCTTCGCTTAATTTAGCGGAAAATTGAGTTAGTGTATAGGTCTGTGACTTCCCATAAATCACCGCGCGGTTACGCCGATACCGACGGCGACGGCGACGGCGACGCTGACGCTGTTGCACAAAGAAACAGGTGCCTAAGAGCTGCGTTCTCAAAATGTATTTACTCGGATGCTAAAACTGAAATAATTTTGTCTTACAGTATTTGCAGTAAAAATTCGTGTTGGTATATCCTGTGTTAATATTGCAGCACGCAACGAACAATATAATTGGGACAACTTAAAACACGCGTACATTTATCTGGAGCCTGCACAAAACTAGTCAGAACATTTTATGAACGTCTGACCTCTTGCCCGTGTAACGCGTCGGGACTGCAGGAGCTGTTTCACCCAAAGCGTTCCGAAGGATATAGTGGGACACCTCATAGTCTGCGTTGAGAATCTTTGACGGGGCACTCCTAACTCAGAATGCTCAGGCTTTTTCCATGCACTGTTTCACCTCCAGATTCTTAAAAAAATATATGAAAGCATATCAGGTAAATCCTTTTAAGACATATTGAATTAAACAAATTAGAGTATCATATTTGAAAATCAAATCATGATTTTTTTTTAAAATTTCCATAGATATTTTTATTCAGTGTTTCTATATAACTTATTACGCCTCTGCAAGAAGAAAAAATGCATGATTGGATATTTAAATATGGAGAAGCATATTTATAAATTAACTCATGCAATTTGTTTTAATTTCCTTAAATTGTTAGTTTTATTATAAGTGTTTTTAAAAGTTATTATGCCTCCGTAAAAACCGCTACAGAAGTATCGTTAAATACTTGGTGTGTGTGGCTCGCACAGTAGCTAAACTATATTTCGCAAAAGGTCAGAGCGCAGTCCAAGACTTGAAAACATAAAAGCGCGAACAAGCGTTATAAAAACGGATAATCATGGCGTAATCACTGAAGTTGGTTGGTTCAGCCAATGATTGCCCGAGAACGGAGAGGTTACAATCACCGAGACATTTCGCTCATCGCGTTAATTGATTAGCTCCATAGGCCCGAAGCGTTCGTTGTTCTCGAACCTATTGTGAAACAAAGCAGGAAAATACACCCTCGACCGTTCTGAAACTACTTTCAGCATATAAAGAAGCTCACTTATCCAAAATTGGACACTGCCTAGTCATGTTGAACACGCTGATTCAGCAAGGTGTTCGGAAAACAAAACTTTAAATAGCAGTAGCTGTTTGCGATACCTCGATACGCCATTTCCACAAAGCCTGAGACAAGCAACTTGCCTTCGATCACTAAAACTAGCTTTATCTTCAGGGGAAAATGCGATCTAATGCGATACAGATGTGAGATTTAAAAAGAACACTTTCGCGGTGTTTTAAAAATAAAACAGTCTGGAATATATGCAGCCCGATTTGTAGAAATGTCGCGCACAGAGAGGAAATTTGAGAAGCCGGGGCCGCAGTGAATTAGCATAAAAATATCAAATAATAGCACAAAAAACATGTACATAATTTGTTGCATTGCGGTTCATATTGCTCTTCGGGTAAATGTGATTCGTGCCAAATTGCGACAGCTCCTGGTCACTTGTAAGTTGGCATAAAATAGAATAGATTACTGAGTTAGTGATAAATGAGAGCAATGTAATACGCGACGTAACTACACGGGTGAGTGCTCTCCCTTGTATAATATTTTGCTTCATGGCGATGTACGCTTCGGGTAATATACCCTACACCTACGTCGCCACGAGTCTAAAAAGTGATCAATGCGCCTTAAAAGGGATTGATATGCCGTGATGCTGGTTGTGTGTGAGTACAGGAACATTCGATTTTGTTTGGTTTTGGTAATAAAGAAGGCATCAGCTTGTAATACGAAATTACCGTCTGTTTCAAGGCCTGGTGCACCGCCAAATTGACCTAAAGGAATCATCCAGGCACTTCGACATTTGTAACTTATAATATAAATTATATATTTCTTTAAGACAGTGTCTTTCAAAGAGGCTGCGGCATATTAAAATCTCCATTAAATTGACCTAAAAGCCTATTAGGCACCTTAATACTTGTAAATTATTATATAATTAGCTTTACACTTAAGCTAGTGTCTTTAAAAGAAGCTTCCGTATATTGAAATCTAATCAGCGCGCTGCTACCTTAATAAATAAATTGCCAGAAACTGAGACGGGCGGATTCTCCCAAAGGTTCGGGAGATTGTTGTATCTATGAATGCCTTTGCACTTCCGTCTCCGGTATAAACGCTTAGGTACGCAGCGTTCCTTTCTGGTCCTCATTGAATTTGCATTGCAACATCGGTACATCTCATTGAATACTCAGAAATAAAAAAAAAACAATTATTTTCTTCGGAATTCAATATAAACGCCAGAATGATATTAGCCAGCCGACCTTATGCCGCCTATTTCATCCAGTGCTGTGAGAGCATTATTTTGAAATAGCTACGACAGTAAATTTTATTTTTCACCTAACGTCTTTTAAAGGGTAGTACTTCGCACTTACCACCACAACTGAAAAGTGCCACACGAACAATTTGCTAAATTGAGCACTCAGTACATAATCCGCACAACTGAGCGGTTGTCGTTCACGTATTTCGCTGCTTGAAACTCTTACCACAAACACCCGACATCCGCGATTTTTTTTTAACTTCCTTTTTCGAGCTGCTTTTATCTGGCACCAAGATTTATTTATTAGATAAGTGCTCTGAGGGGGCACTTTTCCTCATCAGAGTATTGTTGATCCCGTCCCTTAGATTTTAGAAAAAAAGTAAAAAAACCGGCGACCTCCTCTTTGCGCTATCGTCGTCGAGCATTTTATATAGAGTTAGATTTCCACTTCAATTATCACAGCTGCAACAGAACTCCCTCTCGCATTGGGGCATTGGCAGTGGAGTAACAGCCCGTGCGACTTAGCGGGAACCAATGGCGTTCTCGTCGGATGTCCTCGTACAAGTCTCGGCGGTCGAATGATTTCAGTCAGATTTACCGACCGAAAACGTATCCAACGAATTACGATTTGGTCAGGTGTGACCAAAGTAGTGTTCCTTCTATTTCAGGCCTCCCCGTCTTGTTCATCATTCCCTGGGTCGTGGTGCGAGCGACGCTGGATGACACCCTGTAAGAGAGACGACGAAAGCCACTTCAGCTTGCCACACCTCTCTAAGACTACCTTGAGCCCCGGGGGCTTACGTTCCTTCCACATCCTCACACTTTCGCGTTCGGGCGGGACCTGATATTTTATTCGCGTTGCGGCGCTTCCCCGCGTCTTTTTCTTTTTTTTTTGCTCGTGTACGCTTTGAAACGAAGTCTTAAATCCTTACAATCAAACCGAGGTAGAAAGGGTTTGTGTAAGGCACGAGAAAATGAAAAAAAAAAAATATGCAGGATAATGTTTTAATGGTATTCCAAGGCGGTAAGTGCACCGACATGAAAGACGTCAGCGCCATTTTTTTTTCTCTCTCTTCTAGACCTAAGTAGCTTCACTTCATAGGCCCATCGCAACTCTCTCTTTCTCTCTTTTTTTCTATTCAAAAGGCTTGGGAAACGAGACCCCTTTCTTAAAGTGCGTCAATATTTTATATACTCGAAGGCGAAGTGTTCTGGCCTCTCGGGCCGAATTTTCACTGCCCTGTTTATCCTCCCGACGTGGTAGCAAACGGGGGCAATTTGGTGGACCTTCAACCTCTGCGCTTGTTGCTGTCAAAAATTTGCGAGTTTGATTTTATTGTCCTGTGCAGAACGCTGCTTTGGGAAATTTGAAATGGGCATCACGTCGACGTGTGCATTTGGCTCTAGCTATCAATACCGTTCTCGCTTCTTATCATTCCTTTTGTTATGAACGAGGCGAAGGAAAGCGTAGCCTGGAGCCTAAGAGAGTATTCTTTGAAAGCATGCGCCCACGTATTTTTCTGACCGTTACTCAACACCCGTAAAATGAAAACGTGTTGTAAAAGCAAGTGCCACTTTTTGAGTCGCCTCGCCGTATTGGCCAATGGGGCACGAAGAACTCGAAGGATTTAAGATTAAGCCGAAATTCAAAGAACTCTAAATAATTGCGGTCGTGTCACTAAAGCTCCTCCTAGACAGTAAGTGCAGCATCTGAGTTTCCGAAAATGAAAGAACGAAGTGGTCTACAATTATATTTGACAAACATAATGTCTGCTTCTCGAGAAACAAGAAGGGGATAACTCGAAGCTGAACAATACAGTGCATTCTGTTACTTAGAAATACTAAAATATCTATTTTTTTATATTAAATTAGAGAGGTTTGTTTTGTGTGCAATTTATTTGATCAAGTGTGAAATAGAGTGACGTCAAGAAGAGCAGAAGGATACCGCAGGGTTGTAGATGCAAATAAGGACATTTAGCACATATCCGTGTAACCGTACAAATTTACAAACATAATAAGTCAGTTATTTGGAGTGTTCACATCCTCTGATTTCACACTGAGTCACCGTTTGTTAGGCATAAAGTATCTAGGAAAATTGGTTCTATCATATTAAGCCAGAGCTTGTGATATATGTGTAATAGCGGCCGAAAATAAACAAAGCGGCCCTTATTATATCGAGAGTCTCAGAGACAACATATAAGGTAACCTCTATTTCGCTGACGTATGTACCAATCATTTCGTGAGAAAAATTTTCAACATCAATATTTGTACTTCCATTTCGAAAAAACCCGTGCTAACAATAGAGGGTTTCCGATGTGGTGCTAATACATACAAGTGCATACTCACAGAACTACACGCTTTGTTGCAAAGAACACTTGAGTGCTACTTCGTTCTCGTCAAAAGTGCGGCCAGCTCCCTGCACCGTTTTAAATTCGCACACTTACATTTGTCTTCAGTTTGTTTCTATTACACTTTTACTAACCATAGCTTTCACTGCACTTGTCGCTGGAATTATCGAAAAATAAGACGACGGTATAACCATCCCTAATGCATACGAACCTTGAAACAAGAAGTGAACTTTGCTACAAAGCTAGGCTACACAACGTACCCTAACTCAAGACATTGGCCCAGAAGCCGTTCATCAGAATTTTGAGCAGTTGTCTGAAATTCTAATAAATATAACCGTGGAGATAGTTTTAAGGAATCAGGTCCCAGCATTGTGTATTTTTTTTTTTAGACTGAATGCGTTTGTAAGGAAGGACGCTTCTGCAGTAAGTAGCGTGATAATTCTGCAATTTCACTTATTCGTTTACTATTTATTGATTCATTGGGGCACATCTCACGAGAAATTTGATGGTGGTGTTATATTTGGGATTAAATATTAGCGTAATTAAAAAAAGATAGTGTTAATTCGCTCTTCCTAATATGAGATTTAGACTATTTATCACGAGACACTAAAACTGAAAAGCACGCAGAAACATATTCTTCAACGTCGTGAACAAAGTTTGGAGTCTCTTAGCTGCTTGAACGTAGCCGAGAGACATGCCAGCATCAACTTGTGTCAAGGCACATCATGTTCCGATATCCACATTTCGACCAGTTTAACAGCTTCGAAGCTACATTTATGTAAAAGAGAGCACTGCCAAAGCCAGCGCACAAGTAGAGTGGTTGGTCGACGTTGTAGCGCACTCAAAAAACTGCTAGTCAACCTTTCACACACACAAAAAGAATAAAACTCTCACACAGCGTTCACTAACAACTTTGTATTGTTAGTGAGCGCTGTGTGAGAGTTTTATTTATTTTGTGTGTGTGAAAGTTTGAGTGAAACTGTTTTGAATGCGCTGCAACGTCGACCAACATGAACAACCAACTCGCCCAATCTGAGGTTCTAAAAGCTGAGCGGCACTTAAATCCGATGTCAACTCGCCCGCGCGATCCAGAGTTGATAGTTCTTTCTCTCAGACGTTCTGTAATAATACACCGTGTGGATACTCATTGAAAGGGTGAAAACCGGATGAAGGTCTTTCAGCTACAACGCCTCCAGCGAGAGCCACCATTCTTTGATGATGCTTCAGTAGCGCACACAGATTCAAACTACAACTGAAGGCAGCGAGGTCGTGCTGGATGCCGTGCACCCGTAGAAAGACAAACAAGCGCAAGATCACGACCCATTGACTGTGCGTGTTTAGTTTAGCCGGTGAAAGTAAACGCTCAAAGACGACGGCAGATGCACTTTTAGTGCTGCTTGGTCGACTACATTTTATCGTAGTGTCGTAGCGCTCGGACTTAGTTTGAAATGGAGCGCAGCTTGTATTATCAGACCCAGACAGCCATCCTAAAATTGTAAAAAAACAAACGGAGCTTTTTTGTCTGTGTTTTAGGCATTTAACTGGAGCACCTAAATGTTTGGATATAGTTTTTATATTAATCGGTACAAAAGGAATCGGGGTACTTTTGCCAACAGCTGCTGGACAACCAATGTCAGGCAAGACTTGTTCTGGATCATCCGAGGACCAATCACAGCGTCCATCGTGGTGAGTGATTCACACTTTTTCTTAAACCGATATGGCAATTCTCTTAGACTGCGAGCGAAACTAAGCCAGAAAAATAGTCAAAACTTTGGAGGACGCTAAAGCTTCGCCTTTAAGCGTGGAACAAGATAGCGTCATCGGGTTCTGTTCGCATCGCCTTCTCATTTGCCTCTGATGCTCTCCCTGTCAGTGAGCAGGAAGCGCGGAGGACATGGCCTAGCCTGTATTGTGTCTGGCTCACTACCAAAGAATCTCGGGTGGGAATCCCGCCTAAAATTGTGGACATCTTTTCTTATGCAAATGAATTACTTTTTAAAAGAAAATCATTTGAGATACCCGGCGACCTTTATTTCGCGTTATATGTCATGTTTTTAATCACTTTCATTCCAGGTGTGACGTCGCCTTTCACATGAGCGTTGTGGGTTGTTTGAAATTCCCGAGCGAGGTCATGTGGCTCCGACGTCATCACCCTATCAATCAATCAGGATTTCGGCGTCACGACACCGACGCCAGCATTTCTGCCACGCCACCGATGTTTTGCGACACAAGCTTTTTAACGCGGTAGCGTTAAAACCAGAATCACTCTATTGCGATAGGCCTTTTTCTCTTGGCCAGGGAACGCGAGGGCGATCCTAACACGCGAAAGTGTACTTAATGCTTGTACCGAGCAAACCAGCACTGGAGGCTTTGACTATGCACGAGCCACACTCGTTTAGAAGCGTGTGTCAGCACCTGTCTGCGCGGTAACAGCGCCTCTGAATGATATAACAAAACGTTTAAATATACAAAAACAAATTCAGCTCGCACTTCCAGTGTCTTATCAAAGCGATGAGAGTTAAATTTTCTAAGTTTTCCAGTTCTTTATTTTATTTGGGAAATTGGCATTCAGGAATCAAATTCTACCAGCTTAGCGTCAGCTAGCAACGCGAAAAAGCGTAAGTACTCACCGATTACAACCGACACACGACCGAGAAATATTTACATTTGCTGGCCAGAGGCGCTGCCCAAACTTAAAACGTACAAGCTCATGGTGGCGGGAAGGCGTGGCCTCCGACCGGCGTGTTTGCCTCGTCCTAAAACGAAGTTCCTTAATTTAATAGAGATTTCATATTTGAAACTTTAGACAACTCTTAAGCAAATTTAAAAAAAAAATATCGTAAAGTATAATATTTGTTTTAACACTTTTTGCTACTTCTCATAGCTATTAAGAACGTGCACACATGTGAAGTTTAACGGCAACGCTAACGTTGGGCAAATAAAGACACACAATATTGACTGAATACAATTGCATTTGCATTTGCTTAGCCCGGGATATGCGTGTCCTCATTTTGTCAAGTCAAAAAAGGTCGCATGATCTTACAAAACCGGAAAATGGCTTAAACGCAGCAAGCGCCAACTTTACAATGTTTCTCAATTTAAGCTGGTAGAAATTCTGAATCACTTTTTGTCACAAAGATTATAACTTTTTCTCACTGTCCTGTTTCATGAAACACGGAGCTCCAGACTTAGCAAATAGCAATTATCCTTCTTTCTCTCAGTATAACTTCAATCTCAGCTTAAAATCTTGACCACTAAAAGTCCGACTTCCAGAAAGTAAAGCTCGCTTTACGAAGTCGGTTCGCGCACTACGTGAGATCACAACTTTCATCACAGATAGGAGGTGGAACGAAGAAAACAGAAAGAAAGCCATGAGAGGTTATTCAACTTGAGTCCTTGCGTCTAGACGCCCGAAATAAATCTATAGTTCTAACGTGTGTAGCTTGAATAGCGCTGTTTCCCAAAGCTGCTAGAAGGCTACTATGATGCCAGGAAAAAAGTTATCGGTGTATCATACTAATGTTGTCATATATTTCTTCAATCAGAACAGAAGGAACAGGGTTAAATGAAATAGAGCTTTATGTGCCCTGTCCACGTTACAGTCCCCCACTCAGTGGAAGAACATAAAAACGAGAAGCACCACAATAACTATGCAAAACTATTTTTCTGAATATTTTATTCGTTCTAGGGCTTGTTGCGTCTCCCACAAAGCGTATTTGTCACCTCGGTCGGCAACGTTTATCGAGCCAGAGGCCCATGTTGCTCCAGAGTCCGAGAAATATAAAAGAAGCACCCTGTTACAACACAGGGGTTCCTTTTTTTACGGCCCAGACGAAACTATATGCAGGATATTTACATAAGCGTATGCGGCTGAGCATTACTAGTGAGCCGTTGCGCCTATTTCGAGCACAAAAAGCAGCAAGCCTCATTGAAGCATGAATGCGCAGTACACAAACAACTGGCCATAAACGCCATTCCTTTATCGAGTCACACAACTCAACGAAACGACTCAGACCGAGCACCGCAGCGGTTTGACGTTGCTTATTTTCTTACGCTTCCAGCAACGCCAGAACGTCACAAGTACACAATACAACCGCTTATTCGCTGCTTCTTTTGGTTTATTCCGAGGTTGCTTTGAAATTTGAATACATTAAGGAGAAAACGTTAACGAGCCACTTCACAAAAGATTATGTTGCGTTGCAGTCATGGTCCTAGTTTCAACATACGTACGAGACGAGACGCCATAAAATATTGCCCTCCGCTAGCGCCGCTGCTGAAGCGGAAATGCCACTTCAGCCTCCATTGCATTTGATCGAGAAGTACGCCTCTATTGTTAAGTGAATGATATTCAGTATCTACCTTACATTTTGCCATATACTCTGAGGCGAACTAAACAAAATAACTCAACCGAAAAAAGTGACAGGAAAAAGAGATCGAAAGTATGCACATGTCCACCTGCCCAGCATATGTCCACTTGCAATCATTTCATTTCGGTGACTTTCCCAACACAAATGATCTCTAATACTGGTGTGGAATTTATAGACGTTTAGGAGATTTGATTTTAAATTTACGCACAGCGTGTTGATTTCAAATAAAGTACACTTGTTCGGGAAGGCAATGTTTCTACCGCAATATAGTTTATTTAACAGATGGTGATGACTCGTGTAACAGAAGTCACTCTGAGTCGTGGTGTGGGGATTCTGGTAGCACAGTTTCTGAAAGAAGCAGAGGAGTGAATATTTACTGCGTGTTGAAAATTAAGTTATGTCCAATTGAGATTTCGCAACCATGACGCTTTAAGCACAGTCATGGTCAAAAGAAATATGAAGAGCAGAGCGCGCTGCCGTTCAGAGAGTGCAGAACCTTCTAGGCAGAACTCTGGTGTTAGGACACAAAACAAACCCGTCGAGATCCACTCTAGGCAACGCGTGTTAAACCGAAATCTTCACACTGAACATTCTGGCATTGCCCTGTTTACCGTCGATCAAAACCCACAAAAAAACAAAATTAATTCAAACAGTCGTTTCAGTGAGCTTTCGATCGATCTCGAATCGCGACCACAGTGACGCTTTTGGTCGCGCGCGTCGCGAATAGGACACCACCCGCTTTACAAACAACCCCGCACGAGGTATTGGCAAACGCACACTTCCCACATGATGTGTGGGACTGTGTGTGCACAGAAACAAAATTCGCATGAAGGTCAGTTCATGAGGCCTGCCGGCAAAAACGCCACTGCTACAGCGTGACGTCAAGGACACCCGCTAACGTAGAATAATAATAATAATAATGTATTTTATTCCTTTGAAAAACCACTTACAATAACTGGCCCACAAAGGCAAAGAAGACTGCTTGTCTGTGGGACCAGGCAGACCAAAATCTTCACAAAATAAAAGGAATGGAACACAGTATTGCAAGTAGCACTATAAATAAGAAATTAAACAGAATTGTAAAACACGGCAATAGTTACGCCATGTAAATTAAACTACTCTCCATATGAAAATCAAACAAATCGCCGAACACTGAAATACTAACAAATTCTAAACACCGTACGACTCACGTGAAGCATACCAGAATAGACAACAATTGAACATCAACATCGCATAACACAGAAATGACTCAGGAAAAAACACACTAAACAGCAGGGAAATCAGAAATGATTCAGGAATGCCTGAGGAAAAAACAGAGAAATGACTCAGGAAAAAACACACTAAACAACAGTTAAATCAGATTTTACACTTTAGGCACCACTTTTTAAGAGCTTTCTTAGCCGTTCGCATGGATGATACACTAATCAAATTATCGGGTAATTGATTAAAAAGGAAGGAATATAATGACTTTTCATTCTCTTTTCGTAATTCTTAAATATTATGGGTATTACGAACCTTTCAGTGCACCTCAGATTTCTCTTTTTGACCTCAATTTTTTAGCTCTTATCGTGGTAATGCCGTGTCAACATTACATATTCATACAGTTTAGAAAAAAATGTATTTAGTTCATTCATTTTCATATCTATTATTATGTTATCACATCTGGTTCCGTACGCAACGTTACTCGCAATCTGTTTAAGTAGTCTATCTATTCCTAGTTTTTTATTTCCTGCACATTGTCCGAAAACAGTAATATCAGTTTCACTCAAGCGCGTGATGACCGTTCATGAATGCCGGAATACATTTTCCAACCTTTCATTCAGAGAGGAAAGGTTTATCACCGACGAACTGCCAAATATTACTTGGAGAAACATTAGATATGACTTATGTGTTCTTAATGATTTTGGAAGAAATATCCGGACGGATGGATGTTTTAGGCAATCGATAGGACCGACCACCCCAGTCGAGTAGGTAGCATATTGTTTTCAATGCGTCATAGGAAGCAGGCGGTAAGGTATGGATATGTCAATAATAACACTCGTTTATATTTGAGATCTAACAATACGTAGGTAAAATAAGGTACTAGGGTGCGAGGTTTATATCAATTGGCGCTGCTGGGACAGGCGTCCGATGTCAACTATACCAAGCGCGCATAATTTTGTTGTTTGTTTTGTTTGGTAGAACTTTATTGGGGCCATCGTTGCTGATGACATTATGCTATTGCTGAGAGTTCTTCAGTTTCTCCTTTAGTAGCTGTTTTTCTTCTCTTTGAGCAATATTTGTTTAATATAAAAGCACCTACATCCCACATGCTGCAAT